GGGAGTTCATGGTGAACGGCCTTAATTTTTTTTTCTGTGAAATATGAAGCAAGGTTTCCATCTAGAAGAGTGGGGGAGGCAAAGCCATGGGAAGTGTGAGGAGAGATTAAAAGGTTTGGAAGAGGCATTGTGAAGCCTGGGCTGGTGAGTTGATAAAGGAGGTATGGTAGGATTGCTTAGTAGTAAACTTCTGGGAAGACATAGACAAGAGTTAGACAGAAAGGGAAGAAATGAACAGGTCACTCTGCATTGATGGAATAAACATCCCCAATTATGAGATAATAAATCCAAGAATATTTGCATACTCCCCAAACGGGAAAAATTAGGACAAAGAGAGCTTGAGCAATATGTCAAAGGACAAATGGTGAATTAATGCTAGAATTTGAACTAGGGCTCTCAACTGTCAGGTAGTGTTCTGATCACCACACTATACCTCTTCCCTTAGACAAAGTACCTGCTATGTATGAGGCATTATGCTAAGTGAGGTAAATACAAAGACAAAATGGAAAGCAGGTCCTGTCCTCAAGGAACTTAGATTTTACTGAAGGTGGGGCAAGACATATACAGATTATGAATAATGCATGATATATGTGTTAATTCAAGGATGAAAAGAATATTAATGACTAGGACAAAAAAAAACTTCCATGGATGTCTCTTTATTTATTGTTAGTCAAGATGATTAATAATTTTACGTATTTGTCAAATAATTCTTTAAACACACAAATAGCATCGCAATGCTTTAAGAAATAATGTATATGATTTAAACTGTTGACAAGCACTCATCTCTATGATACACATTCTTTAATAATGTTCACCCCTTACCTCTTACCCTGCTTCCCCCAAATCCAAGTAATATTCTGCACTCAATCATGATCCACCATAGAAGTAAGGCAATCAATGGCCCATAGGTCATAATTTGTCTGAGAAAAGCACTGAGACTGTAAAATTAAAGGGCCATGCTCCATACACATATTAAATACTTCATACAATTGTGAATTGACCACAAGATAATTTATGAATTAAATCTAAGAGTAGCAAGAAGACACTAAGATGTGTTAGTTTTACAGTTTAATAGATGAGTACATAGGTGGAGAGCTGTTAAGTGTCTTGTCTGAATCAGCCAAGCAACGAGCATTTATTAAGTGCCTGTTATATGCCAGAAATGTGTCTGGTAATGGGGATACCAAGACAAAAATAAAATAATCCCTTCCTTCAAAGAGTTTATATTCTAGTAGCAAGGTAGGGATAATCTTGAAGAAAAAAAAATTAAAATAGAAACATTTATTTTCTCATCCTGAGAAAATAGTGATTTTAATATTTCTTGCAAAATTAGAGATTACTAGGAAATCAAAATGCAATGTACATTTATTGGGAAGGCATGGAGGAGATATATTGAAGAATTTAAATTATATAGGAAATTTTTTAAAAAAGACAATAATAAAACCTTTGTAACCTACTTCACAGTGTAACCATGAGGAAAGTGCATTATATAAGCATGATGATGATGTGTTTTAAACTATTCAGAAAATCTTGAAAAGAGTGAGCTGCCCTTAGGTGCTAGTCTCTTCCACACATGGCCCTGCCAACTCTCACACAGAGGGTGGCACTGAGAGATTTTTTTTTTCCAGAAAGCGTATTTGTTTGCGCAAATGATGAGTAGGAATTCTCTCCTGAGCACCTGTGAATTGTTTATGCTAATTGGGTTATGGCTGATGATTGCTGCGTGGGTGAAATTTTAATCCACTATTTCTTGGATGCCTTATGAGAGAGTAGGTGTTTATTAATTGATTGGAAGTATTCCATTGTGTTTCTCTGTCATTTTCTCTCTTCTCTCATTTTTATTTTTTCTCCTTATGAATCCTGAATCATTGGAAATAGCAAAACAGATTCTTGCTGGGGCCAAGGAGCCAGAATGCCATAAAAGGTTTTGTTTGGGTAAATTGCAAGGCACCAGAGTTTTAGTCCAACAATAATGTGCAAGGCACAAAACATTCGGTTGGCACAGCGGTGAGCCCTGGCATGACCCTGTGTATTATTGACTGGTTGGCTAGTCTAGGTATTACTTATCATCACCTCCCCCCTCCTCTTCTCCCCGTCATACCGAACACCATATTCTCTTAAAGGTGGGATTAAAAAGACTGAGTGTGGGAGGTTAAGAAATTTAAAGCAGAATAAGGAGGAGGACAGGGCAGTAGGCTAGTTAGTATGCTTTTCCTGTATATATAAAGGGTAGCACTACACTTCCCAGATAAATTTGCGGAGAGAAAAATGTATTTTGGAGTGGGTCAGTGACACAAGTCACTGCCCTGTCCTCCTTATCCTGTTTTTGATTTCTTAATCTCCCACATCCAGTCTTTTTAACGCTGTCTTTAAGAGAATAGTGTTCAGTATGATGGGGAGAATAGGAGGGGGGAGGTGATGATAAATGATAGCTAGAGTAGCCAATTAGTCATACAAGTAAGGCTGGAAATTTAATTTTCAAAATATTTTGAAGCCTCTCACCAACATAACCAGATGAGAAACAATACAGTTAAATACAAACTAAATGGACAATAGAACAACAAGGAGAAGTTATCCCCCCCCAAAAAAAAAACCCCTCCTAATTAATTTTAAATGTACTGGGATATTTCAGTGATCTGTAACATTATTTTCATAGGCACTGCCTCCAACAATGAATATGCCATCTAAGACATATTTGTGGCTCATTGCATCTTTTGGACCTCAGAAGTACCCTCTGCTCCTGGGACCCCTTCCTCTGATTGGAGGATGGAGTAGTCTTCCTGGACGCTCCATTAAAGAAGGTCCCATTCCAACCATTTCCCACCAGACTATATTTCTCCAGATATCTCCCTTGGGCCCCCACTCTGGGTACCTTCTCTTCCTCCCCAGTCCTCCAACTTTTCAGCTTCCTTTTTATGTGTTGCCTTCTCCATTAGAACGTAAGCTTCTTGAGGTCAGGGACTGTTTTTCTTTTTGATTATCTTTATATTCCCATTGCTTAGTATAATACTTGACACGTAGTAAGCACTGAATTAATGCTTGCAGACTTACTGTTGCTGTTGACTTGCTCATATGCTGCTGCCACCTAACATGCAGAAGGTCTCTTGATATTTCACCAATATAAATGGAACACTCAGTCTATCCTTAAATTGGGCTCACCTGCTGATTTTCCAGTCACTCATCTGTCTGATTACATCTTTTAGGCCACTTCAGTCTTACAATTCTTATTTAGGTATGTTAAAATCAACTCATGCCTACCCTTAACTTTAATGCCATAAAATGATTATTTCATTTCCATATATATATATATATAATATATATAATATATATATATATATATATATATATATATACACACACATATATGTATGTAGCTATAATGTGTATGTACATTACAGGTATACAGAGGATTAACCTTGTATTCAAATCCATCCTTACACACATACTAGCCTTGTGACTCTGGACAAGTCACTTAATCTCTATCTCAGTTTTTTTCATCTGTAAAATGGCTGGAGAAGGAAATAGCAAACCACTGTAGTACTTTTTGCTAAGAAAATGACAAATGGGATTACAGAGAGTCAGATGTGACTGAAAACCACTAAACAATAACAATGTGTGATAACCATGTGCTTTTTAGGACTGTAAGTTCATAGATATGTCCTGGAAGGGACCTTAGATGCCATATTCATCTCTTTCATTTTACAAATGAGCAATCTGAAGTCCTCAAAGAAGAAGTGACTCATCCAAGGTCACACAATATCTGAGGCAGAATTTAAACCCAGGCCTTCTTGGCCTTATGATATGCTGTGGCCAAGAGGATGGGCAACCCTCTAATAAAGAATCTCTCCAAGTTTAGCCAAATCCTCAGGTGCTAGAAATGCAGTTCATCTCTGCCATACTTTCAAACATTCCAGGTCATACGTAGACTCATAGATTTAGAGGTGGTAGAGATTTGAAAAGCTGGTGAGTCTGCCTCATTTGACAAGTGAGGAAATTGAAGCTTAAACAGCTTCCCTCATTCCCTGCGTCAGAGACAATATAGCTATAAAAGGGACTCTGACCTGGAACCAAGGAGAGAGACATCCCTTTTGCTCTCATGTGTGAATTAGGGGTGAAAATGCCCTATTCCCTCTTCACTAATTAGCACTTTAGACATGTAAACATTTGACAGAGCTCTGCTGGAGTTTCCTGAAAGGCAGAACATTTGAGACGTGATTCCTGCCATTTAGGAGTTTAAATAAAAATGCACTGATTTCCTCTGGGATGGACATTGTTCCCATGCTCTATTTGGAGACAAACATTATTGTTTCCATTCAAAGGTTTGGGAAGCAGTTTCGCAGAGGATAGAATCATTGATTTGGACCTAGAAATGACTTCAGAGGCTATCTAGTCCAAACCCTTCATTTTATAACTGAAGAAACTAAGTCCTAGAAAGGTTAAATGAGTTGTCCAAGGTCATATAGCTAATAAGTGAAAGAGGAAGGACTTGAATCTAGGACCTCTGACTCTTGAGACGCTGCTTCTGTTACCAAGAGCTAACTCATCCAAGAACAATAGAGGCAAAAATATGAGCTCAGTCTTTTGGTTCCCAGTAGTTCTACCAAGACAAGGTTTCTTATTCCTTAGGTCAATGCAACCCAAATTGGCTTGTCTCTTTCCAGATCTAGTTAGCACTCCTTACTAAAACCTAATTTAATCTGATAAAGGAGCTTGTGAATAATAATATCAACAGTAGGTCTTGAGGGAAGGGAGTCTTCCATTTGAGATCTTACCAGAAAAGTCTATTTTCTGAGAGATTGGATGAGTCAGAGCTTTCCTCCTTCCCTATCATCCCAGTGGCTCTGGGCATTAATAGGATAGAGGTTAGCAATCTTTAATTAGTACCCATTTTCAGACTTCTGAAGTGTACCTTAAAGTGGTAGAGCTTTAACCATCCCGTTACCACCAGTGATCCTAGGCAAAAGTATAAGGATTTTCCTGCCTTTTCCCCTCATTATTACCTTGAGCTCCTTGACTGTAGAACAGTCTGTGAGCAGATTCAACATCCAGAAAATAATCCATCTTTGGGTAATCCATCCTTGATGTTACAAATATGTTGCTTCTTTAGTTTCAAGGGGAAAATTCAGCTCAGTTCCTAGAGGAGGGAAAAGCATATGTACAAAGTCAAGTATATTAAAAAAAAAAGAAAGCAACAATCACCTCTCTCTGGAATAAAACATGCAGTCATTAGGACATCCCATCCTCTCTCCCCAACTCCCTATTTCCAAAGCATGTACCTTAGCCTAATTTTCTTGTTAGGAATTTCAAGATTTAACCAACAGCTAAATGAATATAACACAATCTGGTAACAACAACAACAAAAACTGAGCCGAAGGAAAAGGGACAACCTACCAGTTCTTCCTTGCTATACAGTGCCTGCCGATAGACCAGAAATTCATCAACTATTGAATTTTTCAAAGGATGGTTTGATAATCAGCATCATTAAAAGAATGCCGGCTGTTTTTATCACTGAACCTTAACTGAGACAGGCAGGCAGGTTGAGCATTCCCCTGGAGCAGCCAGTGTGTATTGCCTGTGAGTAAGAGACTCGTCTCAAAGACCACATTGCCTTTATGACACATAGTGTAACATATTCCTTAGAGGAGTTTTGGGCATGTCATCCCTTCCTGACATTTCCTCCACCATCTAAGGTCAGCCTTTAAAATGTACCAAACAGCATCCTGCCTTTAAAGAACTGTTTGCTCATCAGAAACAATTCACTTCCTATTGCAGAAGCCACACTTAAGCTACCTGTTATTGAAAGCTAGCCTGTCACCAGCTAATAAACTTCATTAAGAAATAATCAGCTTGTTGGTTTTCCCTTCTAAGCACTCTTAGATGTTTCTTTGCTTTTTGCAATAATACCCCTTTGAAAGGAATTAATCAGGTGCAGTCATTAAGACCATGCCCAGAAACACCATCCAATTGCTTTTCCCCACCAGGAAGAGAGGAAATTTTAATTTAGGAAACCAATTCTGATGAGAGAGAACTTTGAAAATCCCCCTAGGCTTCAACTTTTGCTTCATTATCTATCCCCAATGAGGCTTCTTTGTACTACTCAAGACCAAGAACTGACTCCAGACCAACCAGCAGAGACAGCTAGAGGAGTCCCAAGCCAGGCTTCTTTGATCTCACTAAATATCCCTAGTATAAGTAAATAATTTTGATTGTATGATTAGAACTATGATGAATAATGCATGTCATCTCTTCAACTGGACTTCCCTCATCAGAAAAAAATGGCCAGAATGTTACCTTAGCAACAGAAAGTGATGCTAACATCTGCCTCTGTATAGCTGAGGTTACCAGGAGAAATCATCTTTTTTCTATTTAAAACTTTGTCCAAAAAAAAATGATAAAATCTATAGCCAATCATTAAATAAATCCATTTCTCATTTTATTTCCCCCTTGCAAGCTAGGGCTAAGAAGCATCATTATGGCTAACAAAAGGATTTTATTGTATCTAATAATTTACTTTCATTGCTTTAAGCCCATTGTATGACTTGCAATTACAACCTAAAGAATGTGGAATGATTTCACAGCAAACATAATGGAAATCCCATCAAGAAAATGGTTCAGTGACCACCTGTTCTTATCTTTCAATAGGCTATTTTAACTCAAATACATTAAATATTTGCCTGCTATCATTAATATACAGATTAGCCATCAGCATCTCATACAGCCATAGGATTTCCTTCCCCTCTGCAGACCAGTCACCACATGAGAGCTTTAAAAAGCTGCTGGATGGTTCCCAGTCATTTGAAAGAGAAAATGCAGCATGCATCTCCTAAATGATTTCCCCCTGAAAAGAAAAGACACAGGAAAAGAGAGAGGGACGAGTCTTAAAGTTAGAAGGTACTCACCAGCAGTTAAGGACCCCCTTCCATCAAGCTGTAATGCATGGAATAGAGCTGTGTACTACACCGGAGCCTGCCAGCCAAAATGAACAGTTTCTAATTTTCCCTTCAAATGCGATCCAACAGCACTGAGAAAAGAAAAATGATGCATTTGCCTATTTTATATTATGATGAAATGCAACCTTTAAGTAGAGATCTAAGCTGAACTGCTTTTTTGAACACATTAGACTGCTAATTTTGGAAAATGGAAAGGTTTTGTTTTACTGTCTTTTATATATTCTCTCTGCTACCCCCTCAATTTAATTTGCATTTAAAATTATTCTTATGTCTCCACTCTTCTCCAAGGTGTGGAGCACTTTCTAATCACGACGGATGTCGGTATGGCTCTGTGCAGTGCCACTTTCTTTCTGAGCTGCTAAACAAGGTGAGTAATTATAATTGCTAGTTATTTTCAAAAGTGAGCCACAAAACACATGCCCCTCTTCTCTGGCCTGCCCTTCTCTTTCCCTTTCCCTTTCTTGGTCAGAATTCTACTGCAAATCATTTCCTAATGACCATTTAGCCATCCCTCTGACCATAGCTGAAAAGACCTAAGTAACTTTGAGGAGGTGCCAGAGAGCTAAGCCTGGGAAAAAGCCTGAAATTCTATGTAATCGCCCACAGAGGCAGAACTCAAAACTATGTCATTTGACAGCAAATCTAGTGCTTTCTCCAATGTGCAACTCTGCCCTCTTTTCCTTGAGTTGTTGAAGCCCTTCCTATTCCATATGCTTAAGACCAGACCAGCTGGAGATTTTTAACAAACTGATTTACCTTTTCTTTGCCTACTGAATCTAGGTTTTAAGGGAAAGTATTTGTAGCTCGATTTTTGAGAAAAAGCTGCATTTTAGGAATCTCTCCAAGAAGGGTGTCATGACTAGCTAAAGCATTGGCAAGTGTACCACTTACCTGGGGCTTCCTGCCCCTCTTTGAGACAAATCCCTGGCTGAGTAAGCTTGTGGCCACCCTACCCAATCAGAATGAATTGTGTACCAGGTTGGTGACTATTGAGATAAGAGTAAACCTACCAATCACAAACCCTCTTGTGGCATAGACTAGATACAGACTCAGAGTACTCAAGAGTATTGTTTAGGGTCCAAGGACTCAGGACTCAATCTTCCAGGCTTGTCTTTCTTTTCAGCCAAAAATTGAGACATACTGAGCACTTGACATTTATAAGAAGAGGAGAGCTGTCTGCTGGTTTCTTTAGCTTACAGTAAGGTGTGGGCGACAGGTTCTGAACTCTCTATTGTGAATCTAACTGAGATTGTAGTGACTCATAGGAGAGAGGGGAGAGAAACTGGTCGTGTGTGTGTGTGTGTGTGTGTGTGTGTGTGTGTGTTGTCTGTGTGTGTGTGTGTGTGGTACTCCAGAGCTGCTGACAAGCTGACAAATACCAAGAATTAATGTGAATATAAGTGAATGTGCTATTGGAAAAAGGGAGGACAAATGGATAGTAGAAAAATAGAGCTTTTTTCTCAGGGAGATTGGAAAGAGGGCAGTGTATGTGGTGGGGGATGAGAATAGGAGAGCTGGTTAGGTACACAGATAATGTAAGTACATTTGATTCAAATTTAAGGAAAACACATCATAATAAAAGCAGGCAACCACAAATATTCACTTTGATTTAGAAAGCTCTTATATACCAAAATCTAAACTTGTGATATAAACTTTTCTTGCAACACGTAAAAGATTTGCCACGTTATTGTTTTCTTTTCTCTTTCTTTTCCTTCCTTCCTTCCTTCCTTCCTTCCTTCCTTCCTTCCTTCCTTCCTTCCTTCCTTCCTTCCTTCCTTCCTTCCTTCCTTCCCTTCTTCCTTCCTTCTTTCCTTCCTTCCTTCCTTCCTTCTTTCCTTCCTTCCTTTTCATCTATCCAGACTGAGTGTCCCTTTATTACCCAAGCTAAAGATGCAGGAGTTACTCGTGAACCTGGTCCATTAAACTGCACAGAGAAGTTTAATCTGATCTGTTTCTGACCTAGGGTGGTTTGGCCCTACTTAGGCAACCTGTTGGCCCTGGGGCTTAGCATATTAATGCCAAACTTAATGTGGACACCCTATCAGTTTAGTTCCCTGCAGCTCAGCACTCCTGAGCCCAAGAGACCCACTTGCCTTAGCCTCCCCCAGAAGCTGGGATCACAGGTATGTATCAACATGCTTAACTGTTATGTTCTTTTAAATAATTTCAAATAGCATTTTACATGTAATTCGAATTATGTTAAATTACAGCATACACACTGTAGTCTTTCCAATCTCCTTGGGGGAAAAAAAGCTCTATTTTTCTTCTCTCCATTTGTCTTCCTTTTCTCCAATAGCACATTCACTTGTATGCACATTAAGACTTGGTGCTTGTCAGCTTGTCTTTTTGCCTTTTGGGTTAGAAGTGAATGTCAGTATTAGAAAATAGCAAATAAGAATGAACTCAATAACTGGTCAATATAACAATCTGTTCAGTTGAACTCATGAATGTAAAATGCCTTTGTTATAACCAAAGGTAAGGGATACTAGGGTTTATTTTGAATTGTGTTGCCAAGTAATAGGACTAGAAACATAGAAAATACAAAATAATGTCATACTAAATGTATATTCTAAATAACTATTCTAAAGCATTAGAATTGTGCTTATATAGAAGTTATTAGTTTAGTTGTAAACTTCTCCAAGGCATCATCCATTTAAAAAAAATAACCTAGTTTTATTCTGTGAGTGTCTATACTCAAAAGATAGATATAGATATATAAATATAGATATTGACAGGGATATGCTGAAGCAATAGATGTAAATATAGATATAGACAGGGTTTTGCTGGAGCCAGCACGAACTGGCCCATGAAAGCTGGTTGTTAAATTTTCAGTGTGATCATTTGCACCTCAGAAATTAGCAAATGGAACAAATCAGGACTTATTTTATTTTTTTGTTAATTGTCTTGACCTGATCTAGTCAGGTGAGAAGAGGAGACAGACTTATCTGACCATGCTTCTTCCAATTTCTGCTATGTGTGTCTCCTGAAGGAAGGCCTCAAGGAGGATGAGCCACTTGTACTTGCCTCAACTTGACTTGGCCCTATGCAAACTCTTCCACTTCCCTTTTGTACCCATTTGATCTACAGCCTCAGGTAGAAGAGTGAAAACTTCCTTTGATCTATAGCATTCTGTCTCCTGGTGCACTTGTACCCCAAGGGAAGGCTGCTGGAGCCCACTGGAACAACTTCCATGTAAACCAGAACAAGGCAATTTCTGTCTCCTGATCTCCCAAGTGGGATTTGGAGAGCTTCTGGTGCAAAGAGGAGCAACCTTCTTTCTGACCTCAGATCTTCTATCTCCTCCTGTGCCTGCCCCATTAGTGAAAAAGAATAGTTGGTGGGGAGTTGGACTTCCATTTCTTGCTGTGCAGTTTCTGGCTTAATCTCCTGCCTTCAGAGGGAAAAGGAGTCATGAAAAGGGACTTTTCATCTTACTCATTGCCTTCCATCTCCTGCTCCATTTGTGTTCACCCTTCTTTGGGAAGAAGACTGGCACCTTCCACGAAATGATGAACATTCTCACACCTGGTCATACCATACACACCCCAGTGACACTGAACACCTGTATGTCACCGTCCAAACCCCATTCCCTATCCCCCTCAAAGTTGCAACCAAATGACATCTACCCCTTCCACTATGTCCTCTGTAATGTCTGTTCCATAGGCAACAAACATCTCTTCATCCTATTTTTTTCTTCTTTTACTCCTTCTATCTTCTAACTATTACTAAAATGAGGATCCCCCCAGATGACACAATCTCCTTGGCTACCCTTCCCAGTATGGTCTACACCTTCACTCATTCCCTTAGGCTTATTGATCTAAGTGAAAAGTTGGAACCATCTTTGCTCCCCATTTCCACTTCCTTGTTCTCTCCTATTTCCATCACTCAGTAACCTTTCCTCCTTTGAAGGTCGTGTAATTCATGTCTACCACCCAACTAAAATCCTGGTAGCTGTTGTCTACAAATGTCCGGGTCACTCCTCTTCCTTCCTCAATGAGTTTCATAGCTGGCTCACAATTTTTCTCTTCTCCCCAACTTCTGCCCTCATAATTAAAGATTTCAAAATACATATTGACTCTTCCTCAAATACCCACAACACTCAGTTTCTCAACCTGCTCACTTCCTATGACCTATTCCACCCTACCTGAGCCATACACAATGATGATCATACCTTTGATTTTGCTACCACTACACAAATTCACAAATTCTGAAATTGTCTTGTCTGACCATGATTTATTGGCTTTCCAGCTGCTCCTCTGATTTCCCTTTACAAACTCTGCTCTTTATATACACTGTGACCTTCAATCCCTGGATCAGTCCTCTCAAGGCCATCACCCTGCACCAGCCATTCTGTCCTCTTTGACCTGGCTTGACCCTTTGGTGAACCAGTTCATTTCTACACTGTCCTCTTCTCTTTTTATTTTTTATTTTTATTTTTTTATTTTTAGGCAGTTGGGGTTAAGTGACCTGCCCAGGGTCACACAGCTAGTAAGTGTTAAGTGTTTGGTCTGAGGCCGGATTTGAACTCAGGTCCTCCTGACTTCAGGGCCAGTGCTCTATCCACTGAGCCACCTAGCTGCCTGCCCCTACTGTCCTCTTCTCTTGAGTCCCTAGCCCCCTTATTATTGCTGATTGCTCCCTGCCAGGCTTTAACCTTGGATCATTCCAACCATTTGTAGCTTCCATTCCTACACATCTGGTGCTGAATGAAGGTGGAGAAAATCGTGCAACCATTCTTATTAACTAGGCCCTCACTGCTTTGAGAAAATTCTACTATAGATCCCTTATCAACTCAATATTCCACTCTCCACAAAAACTCATCCAAACATTTTCATCCCTCCTCAGAAGAAGCCTTGATTCTTTTGCGAAGGCAAAGTAGTTCATCTTTTACCTCAATTCTTACCTAACCTTAACTGCTAAATGGGTGTTGCCTCAGACAAACCGAGAACTGGGAAAGACCTTAGCTTAAAAAGGCCAAGGTCTCCCACTGCATCCTGAGCCATCACCAATCATCCTGACCTACATCTTGCCACTG